TACTGTACTGTAGTAGTACTGTAGTGTACTGTACTGTACTGTAGTACTGACGTACTATACTGAAATAGTGTAGTGTACTGTACTGTACTGTACTGTACTGTAGTGTAGTGTAGTGTACTTGTAGTGTAGTAATGTACTGTAATTGTACTGTACTAGAGGCACTGGTACTGAAATTTCAGTGTACTGTACTGTAGTGTACTGTACGTACTGTACTGTACAGTACTGTACTTGCAGTGTACTGTACTGTAGTGTACTGTACTGTACTGTATGTACCTACTGTACTTGTACTTAATTTGTAGTGTACTGTACTGTAGTGTAATGTCTGTACTGTAGTGTAATGTACTGTAGTACTGTAAACTGTACTATAGTGTACTGTAGTATACTGTAGTGTACTGTACTGTAATTGTAGTGTACTGTACTGTACTATACTGTACTGTACTGTAGTGTACTGTAGTGTACTGTAGTGTAGTGTACTTACTGTAACTGTACTGTACTGAATTGTAGTGTACTGTAGTGTAGTGCATTGTATCGTAGTGTACCTGTACTGTACTGGTACTGTAGTGTACTGTATTTACTGCACTGTACTGTAGTGTAGTGTACCACAATTGTAGTGTACTGTACTATACTGTAGTGTACTGTAGTGGTAGTGTACTGTACTGTACTGTAGTGTACTGTACTATAGTACGTACTAGTGTATCAAATTTCACGCACTCTGTACTGTAGTGTAGTGTACTGTACTGTAGTGTACTGTACTGTACTGTACTATACTGTAGTGTACCTAGTATGGTAATGTACTGAACTGTACTGCACTTCAGTAGTGTACTGTAGTGTACTGTAACTGTACTATACTGTACTGTACTGTGTTGTGCTGTACTGTACTGTACTGTAGTGTACTGTACTGTACCACAGTGTGTACTGTACTGTACTGTACTGTAGTGTAGTGTACTGTACTGTAGTGTATCAGGAAGTGTAGTGTACTGTACTTGTACACGCAATTGTACTGTAGTGTACTGTAGTGCAATTGCAGTGTAGTGTACTGCATAGTGTACTGTACTGCACTGTACTGTGTAATGTAGTGTACTGTAGTGTACTGTAGTAATGTACTGTACTGTACTGTACTGTAGTGTAGTGTAATTGTAGTGTACTGTACTGTAGTATACTGTACTGTACTGTACTGTACTGTAAAGTGTACTGTACTTACTACACTGTACTGTAGTGTAGTACTGTACTGTAGTGTACTGTACTATACTGTAGTGTACTGTAGTGTATGTAGTGTACTGAACTGTACTGTACTGTACTGTAGTGTACTGTACTGTAGTGTACTGTAGTGTAGTGTAGTGTACTGTAGTGTACTGTACTGTACTGTAGTATTGTACTGTAATACTGTACTGTAGTGTACTGTACTTTACTGCACTGTACTGTAGTAGTGTACTGTACTGTACTGTAGTGTACTGTACTGTACTGTACTATACTGTAGTGTACTCTTAGTATGGTATTGTACTGAACTGTAATTGTAACTGTACTGTAGTGTACTGTACTGCACTATACTGTACTGTAATTGTACTGTACTGTAATTGTACTGTACTGTAGTGTACTGGTAATTGTAGTAAATTGTACTGTACTGTACTGTACTGTAGTGTACTGTAGTGTAGTGTACTGTATAGATGTACTGTACTACTGTACCAGTAGTGTACTGTACTGTACTGTACTATAGTGTACTGTAATTGTACTGTACTGTACTGTGCATTTAGTGTACTGTACGGTACTGTAGTGTACAATTGTAGTGTACTGTACCAATTGTAGTGTACTGTACTGTACTGTACTGTAGTGTACTGTAGTGTACCAGTGTATTGTACTGTACTGTAGTGTAAAAAAATTGTACTGTACTGTACTGTACTGTACTGTACTTTTAGTGTACTGTAGTGTACTGTACTGTACTGTAACTGTACTGTAGTGTACTGTAGTGTAGTGTACAGTGGTTGTACTGTACTGTACACTGGGTACTGTACTTTCACTGTACTGTAGTGTACTGTGTAGTGTACTGTACTGTACTGTAGTGTACTGTACTGTATTGTACTGTACTGTACTGTACTGTACTGTAGTGTAGTACTTACTGCACTAAAATTGTATTGGCAGTGTATGGTATTGTACTGAACTGTACTGTACTGTACTGTAGTACTGTGTGTGTACTGTACTGTGTGAGTACTGTAGTGTAGTGTAGTACTGTAGTGTAGGTGGTAGTGTACTGTACTGTATCGTACCAGAAAGTGTACTGTACCAGAAAGGTACCATACTTTACTGTGCAATTGTCATCAGAAAGTAAACTGTACAGAAATTGTGTACAAAAATTGCACTGTACTGTACTGTAACAAATACTACCGTATGGTATTGTACTAACTGTACTGTACTGTATCATGTACTGCACTGTACTATACTGTACTGCATTGCACTATGCTGTACTGTACTGTAGTGCACTGTACTTTAGTGCACTGTACTGTACTGTACTGTAGTGTACTGTAATGTACTGTACTGCACTTCTGTAGTAAATGTACTGTAGTGTACTGTAAGTGTAGTGTACTGCAACTGTACTTCATTGTGTCTACTGTACTTACTGTCACTGTACTGTAGTGTACTGTAATTGTACTGTAGTGCACCGTACCGTAGTGTACTGTAGTGTAGGTACCGGTACTGTAGTGTACTGTACTGTACTGTACTGTAGTGTACTGTACTGTACTGTACTGTATTGTACTGTACTGTAGTATCATGTAGTGACTGCATTGTAGTGTACCGTACTGTACTGAATTGTACTGTAGTTTACTGTACTTGTATTGTACTGTAGTGTACTGTACTGTAAAAAATGACTGTAGTGCACTGGTACTGTACCGTACTTTACTGCACTGTACTGTAGTGTATCAACTGCAGTGTACAAAACACAAACATCAACTGCATTATACTGCAGTGTATTGTATTGTATTGTACTGTACTTGTACTGTACACTGTAGTGTACTGTACTGTAGTGTACTGTACTGGTAATGTACAGTACTCGTACTGTACTGTACTGTACTGTACCGTACTTTATTTGCACTTTACTATTGTAGTGTACCGTACTACACTGTACTGTACCATATCAGTGCATCAGTGTATGGTATTGTACTGAACTGTACTGTACTGTACTGTAGGTACTGTAGTAAAACAAAATTGCAGTGTACCTGTATTGCACTGTATTGTACTGTATTGTAATGCACATACCTCAGTGCACCGTACTGTACTGTACTGTAAACTGTAAAGGTAAACTGCACTGTGACTGTACTGCACTTTACTCCACTGTACTGTAGTGTACTGTAATGCACCGTACTGTAATCAACATTGTAGTGTAAATGTATTGTACCTAGAACTGTACTGTAACGTACTGGTAGTACACTGTAGTATACTCTACTGTACTATACCGTACTGTACTGTACTGTACCGTAATTGCACTGTAGTGTACTGCACTGTACTGTATTGTACCGTACTGTATGCGCACAGTAGCGTACTGTAGCGTACTGCACTGCACTGTACTGCAAAGTGCACTGTACTGCATTGCACTGTACTGTACTGTACTTCACTGAAATTGTACCATTGTAGTGTACTGTATTGGTAATTTACTCACTGTACTGTACTTCACTCTAGTACTGTACATTTTCAATTGTACTGTATGTACTGTACTGTATTGTAAATGTAGTGTACTGAATTGCATCTCTACTGTAGTGTACTTACTGTACTGTACTGTAGTGCACATCACTGTACTGTACTGTAGTACTGTACTGTACTGCACTGCATTACTGTACTGTACCACATAAGAAAAACATAAGTAAATCAAGAAGTTCAATAAGAACTGAAGCACTGTGCATGCAGCTCCTGCTCAGAGTTCAATACCACTCTATATCATCCATGAATCATATCCAGCCTTTTGAAACCTTCCATCACTCCAGCACTTACTAAAAGTTGCTAAGCTTGTCTCAACTCGTCCACCAACCCTATTTGTAAACCAGTTCTTCCTATCTCCCTCCTAAAACCTAAACTCATCCAACTTAAACTGCTGTTCAGTCCCATCCTGCCTCGATATTATAAGAACTTTATCTATATCCCAACCCACCCACCAAAACATCAAGCCCCACACCATTCGTCTTCTAGGAATGCAGTTTAGTCTCTTTAACCCATCCTGATATGAAGGTTTCAAGTCCCGAATCACCTTTCGCCATTCTTCGCACCAAACTCAGTGAATTGATATCCATTCTATAACAAGGCACCAGAACCGAAACAGATAATCGAGGTGCGTCTGACTACGCAAGATATAGTTCGCAACATGACCTCTGCACTCTCTTACTTAAACACTCTAGACATAAACACCAATAATCTGTTTGCCTTATTTTGACACATTAACTCACTGTATTCTACGTCAGGTCCTGGCCATAAGCATCCCAAGTCTCTTTCACAAGTCACACCTTCTCAAGGTTGATATTGTTAAGGCTGCATACACTGCCAGCATTTGTTCTTCCAACATAAGTACGCCAGCACTTGCTGGAAGTTGAATTTCATTTGCCACTAGACCACCCCTGCAGTTTATTTAGATCCTTCTGTAGTGCATTTGCATCCTGCCCCGAAATTAATCTGCCACCCTATTTTGGTGTCATCTGCAAACATGCTTATGTCACAACTGATCCCAGCATCTAGATCGTTTATGTACCATGAACAAGAGGCCTAGTACTCGACCCCCTGGGAACCCCACTCTAACACAGCCCCACCACTGTTACACAGCCCCACCACTGGTTACACGGCCACCACTGGTTACACAGCCCCACCACTGCTTCACACAGCCCCACCACTGGTTACACAGCCCCACCACTGGCTACACAGCCACCACTGCTCACACAGCCCCACCACTGTTTACACAGCCCCACCACTGGTTACACAGTCACACAAAATTAAAGATAAATTTTGACATAGTTTATTCTTTTCAGAAATGTTGACCCCACCAATCTGGTGCACAACTGATGTAAAAGTTCTTTGAGATACAGCAGAAACTGGCACTGCACTGAACTGTACTGAACACTGTACCAACGTACCATCACTGTAGTGCTGTGCTGTACTGTACTGAACTGTACATGTGCTGTACTGTACTGTACTGTACTGTACTGTACTTTGCATTGTACATGTACTGAACTGCACTGAACTGTACCAATCATACTGTACTGTACATCACTGTACTGCACAGCCTACCAAACTGCACTGCACTGTAGTGTGCTGTGTTACCGTACTCGAACAGACTGTGCTGCGCTGCACCATACTGTACTGTACAGCTGCAAATTTTCGCTATCTAATAAGCTGGCATTCCACCAAGAATCTAAATCCCTAGAACAATACATTATGGAATTTAATCAGTTTGTAACATATATATTTATTATACAAACGTGTGTTTAGACACTATTTATGAGAAATTTATCAAGTTACAATACAGTGCATCCGTTTATTTATGCAATTTGTTTTATTAATATTACAGGAAACTATGACTTACTATATGACATGTGGTGGTATAGTTGTGGCCAGAAACAGCTTATATTTACCACCACAGAAAAGTACTCTACATAGTTCTTCAGGTTAGTGAATCAATACATTATATATGTATGACAAGGTTTAGCTTACTGTTCTCCTATTTGTTGCTTTGACAATCTTAAACACAAGATCCATTACTATGGGAACACTATTATAGATAAGTCTAAAACATCTTTGAGAGAAATGCACATGTTCAAAATAGAACCACAAACCAGGCCCACAACCACCATGAACCACTAACGAGGCTCCACAACCACCATGAACCATTAACCCAGGCTCCACAACCACCCATGAACCATTAACCCAGGCTCCACAACCACCATGAACCATTAACATCCACAACCACCCAAAACAAACAGGCTCCACAACCACCACATGAACACCAACGAGGCTCCTCCAACCACCATGAACAATACCTAACGAGGCTCCACAACCACCATGAACCACAACCCAGGCTCCAAAACCACCATGAACCAATAACGAGCCCATAAACCACCATGAACCATTAACGAGGCTCCACCAACCACATCATGAACCAAACGAGGCCTCACAAACCACCATGAACCATTAACGAGGCTCCACAACCACCAAGAACCATTAACGAGGTCAACAACTACCCATGAACCATTAACGAGGCTCCAAAACCACCATGAACCATTAAACGAAAGCTCCACAACCACCATGAACCAATAATGAGGCTCCAACAACCACCATGAACCATTAATGAGGCTCCAAAACCACCAAACCATTAATGAGGTCCACAAACCACCATGAACCATTAATGAGGCTCCCAAAACCACCCCAACAAAACACCAACAACTACCATGAACCACTAACGAGGCTCCACAACCACCAAGAACCATTAACGAGGCTCCACAAACTACCATGAACCACTAATGAGGCTCCACAACCACCAGAACCATTAACTAGGCTCCATAAAACTACCCATGAACCATTAATGAGTCTCAACAACCACCATGAACCATTAACGAGGCTCCACAAACCACCATGAACCATTAACGAGGCTCCACAACCACCATGAACTAATACACAGGCTCCAACAACCACCATGAACATCAACGAGGCCCACAACCACCATGAACCATTAACGAGGCTCCACAACCACCATGAACCATTAACGAGGCCACAAACCACCATGAACCATTAATGAGGCTCCACAACCACCTCATGAACCATTAATGAGGCTCCACAAACCACCATGAACCATTAATGAGGCTCCACAACCACCATGAACCATTAATAAGAGGCTCCACAAACTACCATGAACCATTAATGAGGCCCACAACCACCATAACAAACACCAACCACCATGAACCATTAACGAGCTCCAACAAACTACCATGAACTATTAATGAGGCTCCACAACCACCATGAACCATTAACGAGTCCCAACCAAACCAAAAACACAACCACCAAACCAAAAACCACAACCCAAACAAAAGGCTCCACAACTACCATGAACCATTAAACTAGGCTCCACAACTACCATGAATCCATTAATGAGGCTCACAAACCACCAAGAACCATTAACCAGGCCCACAACCACCGGTGAACCATTAATGATACCTCCACAACCACCATGAACCATTAATGAGCTCCACAAACCACCACGAACCATTAACCAGGCTCCACAAACCACCATGAACCATTAACGAGGCCCACAACCACCATGAACCATTAACGAGGCCCACAACCACCATGAACCATTAACCAGGCTCCACAACACCAAACAACAAACCACCCACAACACCAAACAAAACCCAAACCACCAAACAAAACCCAAACCACCATGAACCATTAATACCCATAACGACCATGAGCCAGACCAGCCAAAGTTATACAGTATAAGAACATGAGCCAGCAAATCACCAAAGAGTTATGCATGTAGTGTTATATAGACTGTATTTATCAACATTGATGATAAGTTAGTATAGAATTATCAACAGCCAAGTACAGCATATCTTAGGTAGTAATTTATGTTTTAAAATTGAACAAAAAAAAAATTTATCCACCTTTAGTGAAACATTTTAATCTTGTGTGAATTTTGTCATGACTGATAAGTATAGCAGTACTGTACACAACTCACCAGTGGCCAAGTTTCTACCAAAATATTTTACTTAGCTTAGAAAGAAGAACAAATACCCATTAATTGGACAAACAGTTTATATATTCCTGTGTTTATGTATTACTTTTAATCTTTTTTTCTTGTTGCCTGTAGAAGGTGTAGTTATATGTTAAACGTTGTCTTGTGTAAGGAGTTATTGCTAGTCACAGACCCATCTGTTGTGGACTCACTCTCTGTATACAACATATTACACCTTGCTTACAACTCTCCTTTGTCCTCTGTCTATATTAACACTGCTAATGTTTCTGGTTTGGTTTTAATGTTGTACCAAGAAAACACTCGTACCCAGAAGGCAGGGTTACAGCATATTTACAGGAGCTGAAACACTGCACCCAGAAGGTAGTGGGTTACAGTACATACAGGAGCTGATACAACTGCACCCAGCAGGTAGTGGGCCAGCAGCATACTTATTATGAGATTGTTCCATCCTGGTTTGTGTTCTCATTGTATGATAAATGTTTTCCTGTGCTTCTGTAAAGTCTCCACTCACTATATTGAACAGTTAATGTTTCCAATTATGTTGTTGGTAGGTCTTGACTCTTGAGCTGCAGAGATGGATCTATAGGAGAGAGGGTGGCTTGAGTGAGGGGATAAGGAGGCTGGTGGTGGTGAAAATGTGTGCAGTGGTACGCTGTTGTTCGCCATGAAGTGCGTATATTGCAGGCTATCCGAGGAACAGGAGGTTCGAAGCGACGGGTCTAGACATCCGGTCACGCTTATCCGTCAGAAATGTGCCCAACTGGCCGCTGAACTCTCGCCGCCGACCGGCCGCCATATGAACTTTGTTGACAATCTAACCCTAAATCAACCAAACCCAACCTAACCAAACCGCTTTTCAAACCTAACCCAACCTTAACTCAACTCAACTTCAACCCCAACCCAACCCAACTCAACTCCAACCTAACCTAACTCCAACAGGCGTTTGCAGTTTACCCCCAGTCCGCGGCGGCCAGCCGTCCCATTCTCAGTTTACCGGAGTTTTAATTAATCAAGCAACTTATAGGCGATCCCTTTGCGACCAACAAGAGATGAACTAGCCTTTGTAAAAACATCTTCCCTCAACAAGGGAATCTTTTACTCACTGTTGAGGTCTAGGGCCTCCAGATGTGACAATCTACTTATGTATCTCTCATCACTAGAAGACATAAGGTGTGTTACCCAGTGCCTGTCAAAACACATGCAAGGAAGTTTATACTGTATGTGCACCACACTTACATTTCTGACCACAAAAAAGATCTCTTCTTGTATGGTTTTGTCCACATTTTCGAAGATCTTACATTGTTGTATTAAGTCATTAACATCTATTACATTTACTTTATTACAGTACAGTACTTATTTTTACATCATAAACAACAAAACACTCAAAAAAATAAGAACTTAGGTTGATGTCTGAGAACATACCCTTTTTATTAGTAGACACCTGTGTTTAAGGTAAGCCCCAGGTGAGAGCAAGAAGGGACCTTGTGGTTCTTACAAGATGTATGAAGACTGAGAGTCACTTAATGGGAATCCTGGTCAGGATCAAGTCTGTTTTAGGCTGATCATATATTTCAGTGCATCTCTTATTTGGTGAACTGACATTACTCAGCTGTTGGTCACCTTAATAGCGAATCCTTTGTCTAGTCTCAGCGTTTACAGTGTTAAGAGGGTGTATTTAGCTGAAGCAAATATATTAAGTCATCATGAACAAAACTTCTAGTCTAAGTAAATGAACAAGATAATATTTGTGTAAAGACAAAAGTTGGGGCTGAAATGTATAACTGAGACCTGGATAATTCAGGACAAAATTGGCCCGACACTAAGTAGTATTCGCATGTGAGTCCATCGGGATTGTCTGGAACTGACGGAGACGGGAATTTTATTGTATTTAAGATATTTTATTATGTGTTAGAGAGAGTTTTAGGACAAATATGTGACAAATAGCAAAGGTTATTAGACACAAACCAATCATATATATGACCCATATAGATGCCAGAGGATACCAAGTGTTCAGGGAATTTTATTCCATCTGTACCTTAACAGTGACCAAAGCTCCAGAGCTATCAGTAGTATAGAAATAGTAAGATTCACAATATAATTAATTTTAAAAAAAATATAAAGCATTTTGTCTTGGTATTGTAAAGGAGAACAGTACAGTAATGTACAGTATATCAGAGGACTCCAGTAGCAAGCTTTTTACAACTATCAGTGATGTGATTGAGTCCACACTGAGAAATAATTAACGTAAATATTGCTAATTTTAGCCTTTAATGACCACCCAAGACGTTAGCAATCGCCACCCCCAAGCAGCCTCCTGAAGAGTTCCCACCAGCTTAACTGTGCCCAGCTTGAATTGAGAATGGAGTGCCATTTGTGTTCTTTTGTCTGGCTCACATCACTGCAAAGTTCTGTATATGATTTATTATTACCTTGGTAGAACATCACCTGAAAGTGTTGAGACTTGAGCTCCTTCCTGTTGTACAGAAAGGGTATTGTTGATCATAGTCTGTCTGGCCATGGAATATCACACCTCGGTTCTGCACTATGATGTATGTTCTGTGATTACAATGGGCAGTAACCTCTTGGTGGTATCACCTGAGTCAATTTACAGTGAGCAGTTCATTAATTATTGGTTTACTAGCTGTCAATCATGAGCCAGGAAGAGTATATAATGAACAGACTAGTATCTGAGGATTCATTTGACAGATGGGTTGAAAGCAGCAAAGAAAACACAAATGGGTATTGGGAATTTTACATCTGAGACATCGCCTCAACCTGACATTAATCCCCAGCAGAGTGAGAAGACTGAGGCCACAACACCCGTCAAACAGTCAGGTTTCCAACACCCGGCTTGTGCCCTCTTGTGATTGCTATCACTTTTTGTTAACATATCATAAATATGATTGGCTTAAATTTTTTGGCAAATGGATAAATGGTCTAGTACTGCATTATTATATATATGTTTATCCATACAGTAATAGACACTGCAGTACAGGGTAATAGTATTACAGGTATATGTCAAATACTAGAAAGTTTTAGGTGAAGACATGTTATAATCGCAGACAATCCACCTGTATCAGGGAATTGCAGCTATTAAATCTTTGCTGCCGCAGTCTTGTCACCACTGTTATACTTATTGAGTTTTCTGGCACGAACAGTAGTTGTACAGTATAATATAATACTTTCAATATTAATGTGATTTATATATATATTACTTTATGCAGCACAGTATTGTAATTACTGTGTATATATATTTAGTATTTTAAATATCATTTAAATCCTCGGATATCCCATTAACATTCCATCACCATTGTGCACTTCAGACTGACTGTCCACCATTGTAGATTTATGGTTTTTCGTGAAAAAATAAATAAATAAATTTGTGATATTTTATAACATGTTCAGTGACACAGATCTTGTTCTTGGTACTAGTGATCATTACAAAGAGTAAAACAAACTGGTCCTTCAGATAAAGTTAGTCAGCCTTCTCTGTGTGTTGTAGGAGCAGTTCTCACCACACACCAGATATCAGTCACCCATTTAATAAGTGTTAGTTAATACTTGTCTGTATCCAGAACTGATACTTAAAGTTTGTCTTGGAAGAGCTCCAGATGGTTTTGCTTCTGTCAGCAACATGTAACTGAACGGGGCACACTGAT